TTGATGTTATCATTAATACGGTTCCTTAACACAATGCACATAGTCTGGAGCTCACTGGGGTCCTGCATATGCTTTAATCAGGCGTTTTAACACTTTTTCCCACGAAAATGATTTTTAATCACTTTTATGGGGCTATATAAATCAAATTCCGGGTAATGCGGAGCACAATTGTACCTTTTACTATTTTAATTTATTTGTATTATATATCTTTACCGCACCGTTGTGACGAAAAGGGAGCTGAGCCAGAAGGCAAAGCTCTCTGTCTACCGCGCCATTTTCGTTCCTACCCTCACCTATGGTCATGAAGGATGGGTCATGACCGAAAGAACGAGATCGCGGGTACAAGCGGCCGAGATGGGTTTTCTCCGCAGGGTGGCTGGTGTCTCCCTTAGGGATAAGGTGAGAAGTTTCGGTCATCAGGGAGGGACTCGGAGTTGAGCCGCTCCTCCTTCGCGTCGAAAGGAGCCAGTTGAGGTGGTTCGGGCACCTAGTTAGGATGCCACCTGGGCGCCTCCCTAGGGAGGTGTTCCAGGCACGTCCAGCTGGGAAGAGACCAAGGGGTAGACCTAGAACCAGATGGAGGGATTATATCTCTTCGCTGGCCTGGGAGCGCCTTGGGATCCCCCAGTCAGAGCTGGTTGATGTGGCCAGGGAAAAGAAAGTTTGGGGCTCNGTGGGGTGACTGCTTTTCCTTTGGCTTTTAGATTTTAGCTTAGACCAATAACTACTGGCTGAAGCTTCAAAGTGCAGCATCAAGTGAGTATTACAAGTCTCACCCTTGTCTCTGCATTAAAGCTACAAACAAGCAGTTAATCAACAATGTGTAACTTCTTTTCAATTAATTTGTTTGTTTGTGTTTGTAGCGTTGTGGAGTACAGATCATCTTATTTCGGAAGTTTTACAGAGTAAAATGTGCAGCAGAGTTGATTGGTGTTGCAGTCCATTATGGAGGCAGAACTTGATGCTTTTGTCCTGCATGCTTGTGGCCTTAAAGGTTGGGGGTAGGTAAGTTTCGACACGGGCTCGAGTGCACTAAAAATTTGAAAGTACACAGACAGCAAAACCCAAAAGAATCCGCCCCTTCCTTCAGACTTCCTTACAGAGCACCTCCTCCGGCCGAGAGCAGGCTGCAGTAACGTTACATATCAGGCCAAGCTAATACACATCAATTTTTTATGGATTTTTGTCAAAGCACTTTAGATATTCATTGCTATCGGGATGTTAAAGCGCATTCCATGGGAATATAACAAAAAGTGTATCTCGAGCCGGTTTCTGAAACTTACACTACCCCACCTTTAATATGTTCTGTACTTGCATGTGGGTTGTGTCGAAGATGCAAATCCTTTAGTATATTATTCAGCTGAGTATAGGCCTACAGTACCACCAAGTGACCCATAGTGAAACAAAAATGTCAATAGTGAGAGTCTTCAGAGCCAAGTGTTGCTTGCATGGGTACCACAAGAACGATGCACATGTTATTACTTTGGCTTCCATCTTCCTCACTGTGCTGACATGTATTAGGGCAGCAGGCTCTCCAATTCCTGGCCCGCCACCCTTACCCTTGCCTATGGCATTCCATGGCCTAATCAGTGGCTTGCAGATGGTTATGCACTCTCACAGGTTTGAGACGACTTATATGCATGGGTTGTAATGTAAGATAAAATGGGGTTCACTACTATAATCTCAGTAGACATTGCAGATTTATCTCAATATATTTTACTGAATGAGGCATGCAATGTTCACCCAATGCCCAACAATCCAACTCGTGCCGACCATATGGCCACTCGCCACCCTCCCTCTGGAACTCACTCCCACAACCCATGAGAGACTGACCTCACCACCTTCAAAAAAATTACAAAAACTCACCTATTCAATCTGGCTTTTAATGTGTGATTGTTTTTGTATTATTTGACTTTAACTCTATATATTTATTTGTTGTTCTTTTCTTTTCACTATATCTGTAAAGCGTCTTTGAGCACCTGTAAAAACGCTAACAAAATAGATCTATTATTATTATTATGTGTTCAGAGGTATCTCAGCACACGGCAACTAACATGTACAGTAGATCGGTCACTACCTTGGATTGACACTTCGGCATCCAATTACGTATGTCCTGCCAATGAGTGTGCTTAGGATGGTTAATGCAATGCGTACTGCCATGAGTCAAGATCACTCCCTTATATGACGAGGGAGTGCAATCAAACAGAGACATACCCACACTCCTGACTGAATGCTGACATACATCAGCGGTGTATTGGAAAATGGTTTACCCTTTACAGGAACAACTTCACAATAGACATTTATCAGCAAATATTTGGACCTTTCATTGCAGGAGCAGCACTGGCATGTGCAGAAAATGAGACAATGGGCCCCTGGGCAAAGACATGCACCGTCCTCACCATTTCTCTTACATAAGAGCAAATGCCTTTTTAATAATGTATTTGTGCTGTATTTGTTCTTAAATGTCGTTTGCTTTTAATCTGTAAAAGCACTTTGAATCGCCACGTGCTGAAAAGTGCTATATAAATAAAATTGCCTTGCCTTGCCTATCAAGGCAACAACGTTATAGTGGATGATCAGCTTTTTTTGTTTTTTGTTGTGTTTCTTTGTGGTTTTTATATATATTCATGTCAATTTGTGTCTGTCAGCAGTCAGTTTGTGTCTCTTTATAGTAGTTTTGTGTCCCTTTGTTGTCCCTTTGTATCTCTATGTAGTTATTTTGTGTGCCTTTGTAGTTATTTTGTGTCTCTTTTTTGTAATTTTGTGTCACAATCTTTTTTAAGTAGTTTTGTGTCTCTTTGAAATCATTTTGTATTTTTAGGCAACTTGGCTTGCACCTGCGCCCGGTCGTCCCGTTCAGTGAGAACAGGTGAAATGAATACCTTAAATGATGCATGAGACCAGGGCCCTGAAACCTGAGCATAATTCGACCATCAATCATTTTATTGATTACACCTGTTATTTTTGGGAAATTATAGATCAAATGGTTTAAAAAGGGTCAATAATGAGTAAAGCACATAATTAGCTTTGCGTTTGACACTGACACTCAACCACCCAAAACCAGCATTCTTAGTATGTTGTTATATCGTTAATACCAATAACTTTGTATATGAAATTGATTCTGGACAAATCCCACTAATATGCATACAGTACGAGTGCCAGTAAATGTTTGAAAAAAGCTTTTTTCGGTGGTATTGCAGATTACATTAAAGAAAGACAACAGATTGTGTGGAGTCAGAGTTCACATTAACCATTATCATTATTAGCATAATGCCAAAAATAATAGCCGTTTTTAGTAACAGACATTTCAAATTTGTAAAATAAATGCATAGGGGATGCCAATAACAATAAGGAAGGCTCACAAAACATTTAAAGGTCCCAGTGAGCCATGGCATTGTGGCATTAAACCAGCATGCACAATACCCTGAAATTGAAGAAGCTTAATGGAATTCGGCCATCATTTATTTTATTAGCTGTGCTTTTCTCACTGATGTCAAGATACCCTCTGTGAAAATGATGAGTAACCTATATTTTCATACATTCAATCATCTATACACTTTCATAATAAAACTTTAATAAAATGTGCACAACATAAAATGAGCGGAAAACAACTGGTTCAAACATTGTGGAAGGATACCCTTCTTCTCAGATACCTTATAAGTCCATTTTGTTCCTAAATTAGGTATAATGATAATATATTCCGAGACACAACTGATTGTACAGATACAGCACACATACATTGGAGCAGCTATTTGTTCCCCCAGTAAAACAAGGTCTCCTCATCCTGCCCCTTCCTTTATAACAGTTAATAACAGTCGAGTCAGGGGAAATGAACTGGTACAGACAGTAGAATTAGTCTCAAATGTTAACACTTCAGAGTATCCTTTTTCATTCTTTAATGATTGAATTAGAGCTTGTACACACCTCGTAAGGCTTTTTGGTGCATCAACAGTGCATGCAGAAACAGAGAGGACACTGCACTCAAACCAGTCAGTCAACAAAGAGAGAATGAAGTGGAAATCAATTATCACACCCTCCTGTTTACTTGCCATCTAGCGGGGCCCACTGCCAAACCAGACCTCAGCAGTTGGCTCATGCTGTCTGTCAACTTCACAAACAGATCTTCAACACAAATGCCTCAACTGCAGTTTTGTTCAGAGTAGATGAGAGAGGTAAACTATCAGTTTATAACTCCAGCCCACTGTACCAATAACGGAAAGGCTCAGTTCTGCAAAAGCTCAATCAAACATGCATGATACACATTAGTGTGTACATCATTGTGCACAAATGTATTCCTTTACACACGGATGCTTCTCCTCAAACATATGAGTAGAAAGGTCACATCACATAACATTTCACATATGGGGTTGTAAAGTCACAATTCTCTTGTTGCCATTATCGAGGTCCACTGGAGATTATTTTGAATACCTTTATGGTATAAGGGTTTAGCTAGGGTCTAGAAATAGATTGTCATTAACTTTTGTAAGGTGTTTCCACCCAATTTGTAACGTTGTAGATATAAACAAATTGTACAACATTGACATTCTTGTTTTTAAGTAGCTGAAAATATCATGGTCAGAGTTAGTTTTTGATGATTACTGTCAGGGTCGGTTCTATGGGGGGGGGGGGG